CACACACACACTCTCACACAGTCACGTACATGCACACGCACACACACGCACACATTCTCTCTCACACACAGTCACGCACACACACGCACACATTCTCACACACAGTCACGCACACACACACACACACATTCTCTCACACAGTCACGCACACACACACACACATTCTCACACACAGTCACGCACACGCACACACACATTCTCTCACACACTCACTCGCACACATTCTCTCTCACACACAGTCACGCACACACACGCACACATTCTCACACACAGTCACGCGCACAAACACACATTCTCACACACAGTCACGCGCACACACACACATTCTCTCACACACACTCTCACACACACACTCTCTCACACACGCACATGCACACACACACTCTCACACAGTCACGTACATGCACACGCACACACACGCACACATTCTCTCTCACACACAGTCACGCACACACACGCACACATTCTCACACACAGTCACGCACACACACACACACACATTCTCTCACACAGTCACGCACACACACACACACATTCTCACACACAGTCACGCACACGCACACACACATTCTCTCACACACTCACCAAGCCAAGTGACACTGATTGCTGGTCTCTGACTCTCTCTTGAACTGTGTTCGGCTGAAGAGGAGAGAAGGTTCCAGATCTTTATGGAGAATCTCAAAGATGCCAAACAGATGCAGGGAGAAGACCGAGCCACGGCTGTCTATGGAGTGAACAAGTTCAGTGACATTTCCGGTAAGGGACACGCGTGGGAAATATTCTGCACTTGGCACAATCATTCTTCAACTGTTCAGGCTTTGGGAGGTCAGCTGGTGAAGCATCTCCCAACAGTGCCATTCGGCCCATCAAGTCTGCACTGACCCTCTGAAGAACATACCACCCCCCCCAACACTGTCCCCATAATCCCATATTTACCACGGCCAAACCACCCTAACGTACACATCCCTGGGCACTACGGGACAATTTAGCACGGCCAATCCACCCTAACCTGCACATCCCTGGG